ACGTAGAGGATGTGATGCAAGCAGGAGAGAGTCGACACCACAAAGAGCTGATGGATCTGCAGAGTAAACTGTCCTTCGATGAGCCCATCAACATCCAGTTCACATCAGTAACCTTCAGCATCTTTCACACTATCACACATGTACTGTATAACTTGGGCTGACATTATGATCTTACAGTGATTCAAAACAAATCATGTTGCTTGTTTATTTGTTCCAGGGGACTACAGGGAGTCCAAAGGCAGCATGTCTTTCCCACCACAACATTGTAAACAATGCTTATTTTTTGGGTCTTCGAATGGGTTATGACTGGAGAGTAAGACCATATTTGTCTTTTGACTTAAAGAAAACGCAGGTAGTGAAAGTGTAATTAATCTTAAAGGCCATATTTCTATCAGCCTCAGGTGCGAGTGTGTGTGCCTGTACCCATGTACCACTGCTTTGGCTCTGTGGCTGGAGGGATGAGTATGGCAGTACATGGCATCACACTGGTCTTCCCTTCCCCTGGCTACAACAGCCGAGCCAACCTAGAGGCCATTCAGAGTGAAAAGTATGGCATGCTGCTCATCACCTAAATGACTATCAAATAAACAACATTATGCAACTTAATTGATTCTTACTTTTCTCACTGAAGGTGCAATTTTGTCTATGGCACTCCCACAATGTACACTGACATGCTCAGCCAACCAGATTTACACAAGTACGATTTGTCATCAGTTGAAGCTGGTGAGTGATTTGAAGACTGTGTTGTATTTAGATTGGTGTTTAGCAAGCTTTTCAATAAGTGCTGCTGTGTTTTAGGTCTCATGGGAGGTTCTCCATGCCCTCCTCAGATTGTGAGAAGACTGAGAACAGACATGAACATGAAAGAAATAACGGTGAGAGGTTACATGTCCAATATAAAACTTATACGAGTATATTTTCTCATATGAGAACATGTGTGCATCATGTTTTAATAGTTAGCTTATGGAACCACTGAGAACAGCCCCGTAACATTTCTGGGATTCCCACAAGACAACGAGGACCTGAAGATAAATACTGTTGGATGTATCATGCACCACACTGAGGTATGACCCATTTTTTGGACAAACCTTTATCTACCCATCACCATAACTATACCGTGATTTAGTGTGCTGGTGTGTCTTCATTATAGGCCAAAGTGGTGGACCCTACTACTGGGGAGATTGTCCCTCTGGGGGCCTCAGGAGAGCTGATGATCAGAGGCAGCTGTGTGATGCATGGATACTGGGACGATCCGGATAAGACCAGAGAGGTTATCTCCCAAGACCGCTGGTACAGGACTGGGTAAGATCCTACATGTACCATGTGCGCTGATGGGTATTAAAAAAGTAAATACAAGGATTCATGCTCAGGTGGGAAATATTGTATTTTACATGTGACAGAGTGTGAAATTTAGAAATTCAGTTACAATTATCTGATATATTTCTAATCTTAAGCTCACTCATCTCACATTTAGCTGATTTTTCCTGATTCAACTTTCCTTGGCCATGGAAATAACATACTGGAATTCTTTCTTTGGGTGGTGTTCCCCTTGAAGATTTCACATTTAGAATTACATTTAATATTTAGATTTGTCAGTTTTTTGTTTTTTTTTTACATAAACACATTGTTAACAGTTAATGTAACCTACTTTTTTCATTCAGCACTCCATTATACATTGTGTTTTGTTTTTTTTCTTCTTCTACACAGTGACACGGCCAGTCTGAACAGTCTGGGATACTGCCGCATTGAAGGACGCATAAAGGACACGATCATCCGAGGAGGGGAGAACATCTACCCTGCTGAGATAGAGCAGTTCCTTGCTACACATCCCAAAGTTCAGGAGGTGCAGGTGAGAC